TTTTTAAATAAACAGATATGTGTGTATATATATATATATATATATATATATATATATATATATATATTGTCTCCATTGGCAACACACACGATTTGTGTCATTGCAAGTGACGTTGCAGGTATCGGAGAGTGCAAGTGGCGATTGCAAGTGACTTCGTAATTTAGTATCTTTTTTCTTGTCTTCACCACCTGGTTACCGTTGTAAAATGTTGAGAGATTCAAACAAAAAGTAATCAATAAATAGAACAAAATAAAAAAAATCAAAGACTGCACGTGACGTCCCTAGCGGAAGCGCAAGTGTCTGAGAATGCAAGCCTGAGAGTGCAAGTCTGAGAGTGCAAGTGCAAGTCTGAGAGTGCAAGTGCGAGGCTGCAGCTAGATCCTCTTGGGAAAATTGTGGATCAGTGCCGACTCGAGATGCGAACTGTTTTGTACGATTCAGTCCGATTTGGTGAACCGGCTCGACCGGTTCAAAATAACGATTCGTTCGCGAACCGGACATCACTATTGGGCGGGTCATATAATCTTTAAACATGGTGGAGGGGATACTGTTCTCAATGCTGTTCTCACAACAACTACGTCCCTTTGTCTTGTCGCTAAAGTAGTGTATTTATAGGCTAGATAGGAACGATCATTCGAAGCATATTGTATGTTTTATAAGCAGTGAAATAAGCATGTATTTGACCAAAATTCCAGAATTGTCAGCAAACGGCATGTGTAGCGCGGTGAATGTTTATGATAGTCAACCAATGGGCTGCTACATTTTATTCTTTTCAACATTAAAGCACTTGAATCACTTATGGGTTAAGCATTACAAAATGGATCTGTAAACAAAGCACAAGGTTTGAAATGGTGAAAAGGACAAGCCATTTGCCTACTAAATAATGTCAGACATCAACAAGCTCACTACCTCAGGAGAGAGATTATCTGTTGCTTTGCAAAAGTTCAACCTACTTTGCAAATTGTTGTGCCACACCAGCCCAATATCTGTTATCAAAACACTAGGCCTCCTCCCAAGTAGACTAATGCATATACAGTTCCAAGCCAGACATGTACTAGATATACAGTATGTGGGGTGAACAATACCAAGTTATGCACGCCAACATAATAAGTACACATACCTTAAGGTCTCTATGCATAATACCACGGGAATGAATGTACTCCACTCCTTCAAGTATTTTCTTTAAAATGTTCAATGCGTGTTCAGAGTCAATTGACTCACAAGGATCTGTGGATCAATGTATGGGTTAAAAAATGCTAAAATAATCCAACAATACAATTATATGCTGTGACTGAATGTTAAAAAAATTGTGATTGTATGTCCAAAAAATTCTGGAGATCAGCTTTTCTTGTCTTTCCTGTTCAGCCAATGAGTCATCCAACGCAAAAACAGGATGGGTGTATATAAAGTGACTTCTATATTTATTATATAAATGTTATATAAAGGAAGGGAATCTGAGCAATTTATAAGACATACTTCCAAAAAATACCTATTTAATGGCATTTAAAGAAAAAAGTGCAAACTCCTATGTAAACTCATGAATAAAGTGATCTTACCTACTGACATCAAGAGTCCCTCTGTGATCCTTGAGTTTCTTTCCTGTATCCAGTCTTTCAAAGATCGCTCACACAGCTGCATTTGTATATAAAGCATCAAGTGGAACTGAACCTATAGACAGGAAAGAGAAAAACTGATGAAAAATAAAACATTACAAAATAATTATTTCTCATTTAAATAAATGGTTACATTCAGGGTTTCATGAATCACATACCTCGTGTGCCTGCGTTTCGGACCATTCAGGAGCATCCGTATCAATGGAAGAGTTATTGTTCAATTCCAGTCTGTTTTGACTGAGGTCATCCTCTGAGAGTGTTGAGCTGTCCCATTTAGATGCGGGGCATTTGTTCACTGTAGCACGAGGCTTTCCCAGAAACACACATGGAACAAAGTTTTGTGGGTTGTGGACATTTTTGGGGCAAACAGCATGTCCCATCTCTTCTTTTAAAGTTGAGGGATTCACTGAGAGGCTCTCTAATGCAACCTGATTTTCTTTGGCTTCTGCTTGTTCAGAATGTTCAAAAACAATGGACGATCCATTGCTGCTGTTAGTGTTTTCCTGTGTGCACCTGAAGCAAGACACATTTTTATATGCTATTGAGAACATGTTACAATTAGTCAATTGTGTTGGGGGAAAAATGTCCAAATCATCTTACCCATCTTTCTGTAAAGGTTTCTCTAATGCTGGAAATGTTTGTGAAACAAGGGATTTTGGATCTAGTGAGTAAAACAGAAAACTACATGCTTGTATCATTTTTCTTTATGCTCAAGAAAATACTGAATAAAAGCAAAGCATGATTCAAATGGATATATCTGCACATCAATACAGCTACTTACTTTTCACTGCAGGCTGAACATGCTCCATCCATGCTGTGTGATATCCAACAATATTGGGATGCTGAAGGCTGGAGAGCACTTTAACCTCTCTAAGAACCTGCAAGGAGATAAAAACAGATGCAATAAGGTATATTATCTCCAAATCATATAGATTTGGTGGGTAAATTGCTACTATAATAACTGAATCTGTGACATACTTTACCTTCATGCAGTCATCTCTTGTTACTTTCTTGATGAGAATTTTTTTCACTGCATATTCCTGGCCATCGAGCTTGTTTATGACCTAAAACAGTGTTACTGTTTTCAGTATGCACCTTTCAAAGTCAAGTGTTTAGAATATTTGGAGTACGATATGATCATAACATCTTCTTACCTTAAACACTTTGCCATAGGATCCTTTACCCAGTGTTGCAGTTTCTTCAAATTCACTAAGGTAACGGGATGTCTGTGCTTGGAAAAGACCATCTTTGGTTCTAGAATAGATAAGTATATCTCAGTTATTTTAAATGTTAATGTACTGTGCACTACCATTCAAAAGTTTTGGGTCAGTAAGACTTTTATTCAGCATATATATACATGCATTAAATTGATCAAAAGTGACAGTAAAAACATAAATGATGTTACAAATTATCATTTCTATTTTAAATAAATGCTGTTCTTTTGAACTTTAAATAAATAATAATTAAACAAGAATCAAAATTTACACAAAAATATTAAGAAGCACATTTGATTTTTTTTACCATTGATATATTTTATGAGCACCCAATCAGCATATTAGAATGATTTCTAAAGGATTGTGTGATATTGAAGACTAGAGTAATGGCTGCTGAAAACAGGATTAAATTACATTTTAAAACATATTAATGTACAAATAAATGCAGCCTTTGTGACTATAAGAGATTCTTTCATAAACATTAAAAAATCAGATCCCATTTGACCCAAAGCCTTTGAACAGTACTGTATTACAAAGTAATGTAAGTGGAGCTGCTACAAGTGTAAAAGTTTTCACCTTAGGTTCTGGCCTTCTGTACTCAAGTATCTATGTTCCTGCAGAATCCAAAAGATAAACAGGTCTTTTTTTCCCGTTTTTGTTCATGAAAGCAACAGCTGGATAGACCTCATTAAGAAAAATGAAATCGATGATGAATTCTGTTGGATTACCTGGGGGAAGAGTGATGAGCTGGTCGCATGCAGGAGCTCTGTGAATGCCCGGTTATGCTGTAGTCTGACGGTACTAAACTCCTCACTGATAGCCAGTGGAGACAGGAGGTTCATGGCAGCTAAACGCTGGCCTATCACTGAAACAGAAGGTATTCAAGAAAACTAAATTTACAGTTTTTCTGAATTGCATTTCTTGAATTCTTGAAACCATCACTCAGTTTCTCAAAACCTTAAACACAAATCCAAATGTGTGTGTGTGTGTGTGTGTACTTAATCTATTAATCTATGTTGCAGGCAGAAAGCAGCTCAGTAGGGTTGCTGAAATTCATTTTAAACACACACACACACACACACACACACACACACATATCCAGCATCTTACCTTATCATTACCCGCTCCTGATAGACTTGAACCAGGCAAAACATTTAAGGCAGGCTGATTTCAGGAAAAAACAAACAAACAAACAAAAAAGACAGGTCAGGGACAAACAATTACAGATTTTGAGCTTTATTTTCCCTGGCACACTTATAACCAATTATTCTAACTAAATACTTTTTCCCCAATTATTAGGGATGGGCGATACCACTTATTTTGTTTTCGATACGATACCGATATTTTTCAAGGCAGTATCGTCGATATCGATTCGATACTTCTGAACTAAACTTTTAAATTATGTAATGTATCAAATTATTAAATTACTAAGAGTAAAATGGGTAATGATAAGCACTTAACTTTGTTTAAAACGCATTTTAACATTCAATATGCCTTAATTGTAACTTATTAGGTTAAATTTTTGTTTAAACATGGTTCAAATATGTTTTTTGTTTACACATGATTCAAATCTATAAATACCACAGTTGAACTATGGTCACTTTAGTAAAACCATGGTTAATTTTCATAAGGGACTGTCAGTGACCGGCTGTTGCATGCATAAATGTGATTGCTTGACTAGTTCTGTCTTGTAGCATTTGCGTGTTCAGATGAGCAGGAAAATTGTTCTATCCTACACAATTACTCGCTAACAAAGGTTATTCGTCCAGTTCAATGTATATTGTACACATTTTTGTTGTTGTTAAATTAACAGAATCACTGGTAAATAAAACACACCTTAGTATCGATATTTTTTGTTTGAGTATCGATACTTTCGATACTCGCGGCAGTATCGATATATCAATACTTTGGATTGATACGCCCATCTCTACTCATAATCTTTAAACATGGTGGAGGGGATACTGTTCTCAATGCTGTTCTCACAACATCTACGTCCCTTTGTCTTGTCGCTAAAGTAGTGTATTTATAGGCTAGATAGGAACGATCATTCGAAGCATATTGTATGTTTTATAAGCAGTGAAATAAGCATGTATTTGACCAAAATTCCAGAATTGTCAGCAAACGGCATGTGTAGCGCGGTGAATGTTTATGATAGTCAACCAATGGGCTGCTACATTTTATTCTTTTCAACATTAAAGCACTTGAATACGACAAGCTCGTAGTCACGACTTCATAAGTGAGAAATAGGACATTTTCGATGGCACGTGAAGGCAGCATGTTACGGCAAACATTCAGAAAGCGGGACCCGCTTTGAAACGGCAACATTAATTGGCCTAATTTTCAGAGAAAGTTGCTAAAGGAAGGTCGATTTGTTGCTAGAAGTTGCTAAATTTATTTTTAAAATTAGGATTAGCAACAAGTATACAAAAATATACAAAATCTAAAAGTTGCAAAAAATGTTTAAAGTTGCTAAATGACGTTGTGATGTCATTGCTCAGTGACGTCATTGCGTAATCACCACGCAAAATTGTCACATCGTCAAACCTCAGCAAAAAATATATTTTAGATATGTTCATTTAGATTTGTTTTTAAAATAATATGCATGATATAATATTAAAATATAAATAACTGTATTTTTAAATACATTGAATTATTGAAAACGTACACATTTTTAAATGATTACAATTTAAGTTTTTTTAGTAGCTAGTAAACTCTACACATTCTCAACAATTATGCTTTAAGCAGTGTATTAGTAGTTAGTTAGTATGCTACACTCTAAGAAACGTCTGTAAAAAATAAGGCACAATCTACTGTTAATATGAAAGAATTTTCCGTAATGTTTTTTGTTTACCTGTATTTTAAATTACGCATTGCGTTTTCGGGTTACAGGGTTACAAAGGATGATGGATAATGGATAATGTCCTGAAAGATTTTCCATTTTTCCTTACAGTGTACTAACTGGTCAACAATCGCAGGTACAAGCTACTAACAAAGTTTATCATAAATGAACAATTATTCAATTATGAAATTATTCAGTTATTATTATTATTAAATTGAACAATTGCAAATAACTCAATTCTCGTGATGTGTGTACTGCTAGGCATCTGTGGTTTCCTCTTTTTGTGTAATTTGGATGGACAATGTGTGCCTTTTCAGAAGGACAATGTGTCCTTATCAGAAGTTGCTAAAAGTTGCCAAATAAATGTTTAAAATTGCTCAATTTGTTGCTAGGTGCTTTTGGAAGAAAATGTTGCTAGGGTAGTCTGAAAAGTTGCTAAATTTAGCAACAAAATTGCTAAGTTGCCAAAACTGTTTAGTTGCCTGTATTGACTGGTTGACTAGCAGATTTTAGGTTATAGGTGGAGGCCCTCGCGGGTCGGACACAACATTTTTTTGATTAACGTCACCAGGTGTGTTGGCTGATGAGCACCAATCATAGACAGACAGGTGCTGATGGAAAAAATGTGGGAGTTGATGTAGTGCTTTCATCACCTTTGCCTTCCCAGGTAAGAAACAGAGGCACAGTGTAGTAGTGGCTGCAACGTGGTTCCTTTTGTTGAGACGAATGTTAATAGACACTCACATGGTAAGTCCTGTTATGCTTTTCCTCATTGTTCTGCTCAAAATCTCAAAAACTATGCTTTAGCTATACAAGTGAATGTGTTAGTTTTCCATCAAAATACAAAACCAGTGCTGTTATAAACTAGTATCTCAACCTAGAGCATTGCCTAATTGGACTTGCATGTACAAATATGTAGTCTAGTTAGGCTAGGTGTTAAGAAATGAATATTATGCTGCATTGTATATAATGCATACTGTTAAACATAAAACAGTAAGTGAAGCAGCATGCACCATAAATATTTCAAACTGTCTTGCATATTAAATTTGGAAATAGAAACGTTATTTTGCTGTATACTACAAATGCTGAAGCGATAGATCAGGGTGTAGGATTTGAACTTCATAAATTACATGCCAGATCAATAACATTCTGAATACACCTTCAGAAGGACAATGATCCCTCTACAATGGAAATAGACCGTAGCGCGCACTTTCTCTCAACTGCTGTATATTGTCTTTCCTTGAGCTCAATGCAGTGTCCTCATGGGACTAAAATGTACATCACTTAAGAGCCTGTGCTGTTTAATTAATCACCTGAGACCAATTTTCCAATAAATGAAAAGGTTGTTTAATTTTAGAGCCACATACAAAAATGATGTCTGTTAATTATGCAAACAGTAAGAACATGCTAGTAGTAGTAGTAATGCATTTTCTTTATGGTGATGTTGGCATCGACAGCTCTAGCCCAGTTCCAGTAAGATTTTATTTAAGAGGGATAGTTCACTCCAAAATGAAAATTCTGTCATTAATCACCCTTATGTTGTTCCATCCTGTATGACTGACTTGACTTGAAAGTAATATTTTGAAAAATGTGTTGGTTTATTTTGTCCATTCAATGAAAGAAGAAAGAAATGCACGCTTCTTTGGACCAACATGCGGTTAAATTAATGACTTCATTTGTCTCTTTTCAGTGAACCGCACATTAACTGTCAGCCTGTTCGTAAGTGACAGACAGCATTCTTCACCCACGCCAACCTCAGCAATTTCTTAAAGTAAGCCATCTGGTATGCTACATTAATGTTTTCATATAAACAACTGAACTGTTTAACTGTCGCGTTGTGATCTCACTAGCGTTACTGTTTCTTGTGTCTGCTAGGCTCACAGCACAACTTGACATCAATGGGAATTTTATTTGAAGAAACCGAATTCAGTGGAAGATGCATGTTGTTCTGCCTATAAAAAGCAAATCTATGATCAGCTAACATTGATTCCACAAAAACAAATTAAGAGACGGAGCGGTGCTTCAAGTACATTCTGTTGTGTGAATCCCCACCACTTCCTGTAAAGACCAAAATCCCTACTTGCTTCTCAAGAGTGCACATCTCTTAACAGAGTTGTTGTAAAATGAAAAAGAAGTATATGAAATTACTCATCGTAGCAATAGCTAGCAGCTTTTGCCTTGTCATTTTCTTTTCCAAACTAAAGTATGTGGAACACAAACAAAGATACTTGGCCAAGATCACTTCAGTTTCAGATACCACACCTAGAAATCCTACAACTGTAGTTGTCAGCAGTATCAAAAAGAAAACCTATAATGTTGCGCCGTATGAACTTCCACCCCTTAGAATTTCTGAGACTTTCAGAAAAGGCATTCCCAAAAACGGTGCTTTCTGGAACCGGAAGCTTCATTCTCTCCTCAGGCAGTTTGATTCCGCTGACAATCAAACGCAGAAAGGCCCACTTGACAAGTTTAACTGTCAGCCTGAGAGTTTTGAGTTGCTACAAACCAACATTCAAGATGTTCGTTCATACCCTGCACTTTACGGAGACTTCCTTAGAGGCATGGAGTGTCGAGACCCACCACTTCTTATCGATCAGCCTGACAAGTGCGCATCAGAGAATGGAGAGGATCAAATTTTCCTCCTTTTTGCGATCAAATCCATCCCGAGGCACTTTGAGAGGCGCCAAGCAGTCCGAGAGACCTGGGGAAGAGGAGGCTTGTATGAAAATGGACTTCAAGTACGAACCGTCTTTCTGCTGGGTCCATGGCATTATGAACAGCCCACACCCCGTGGAATCTTTTTTTTTTTTTGTATTCTGATTTGGGCCACTTTAGCCTCCCATAGTGCTCTTTCGTTTTACTGAATATCTGCATTGATTTCTATAGCAATGCTGTTGCGTTGTAATGCCTGTGCTAAAAACAACACCAGCAGTACAGATGTTGTCTTACAACATGACATGTTGCTGTTGCGCTGGATTCTATTCATTTAGTTTAAGACCGCGGCAGAAACGCAGGAAGCTGGAATGTGACTTGACCTGCACTTCCCAACAACACAAGCTTGTTTCTGCAAAGCCGGTCGGATGTAAATGAATGCCTAAATGCTTACTTCAGTGGCCTCAGTGTTTACTTCCGTATGACAGCACGGTTCATGCCATCTTATTCTTCTTTTTTTTTTTTGAGTGTGTGGGTCATTCACCCACCACTTCTTATCGATCAGCCTGACAAGTGCGCATCAGAGAATGGAGAGGATCAAATTTTCCTCCTTTTTGCGATCAAATCCATCCCGAGGCACTTTGAGAGGCGCCAAGCAGTCCTTGCGCCGTATGAACTTCCACCCCTTAGAATTTCTGAGACTTTCAGAAAAGGCATTCCCAAAAACGGTGCTTTCTGGAACCGGAAGCTTCATTCTCTCCTCAGGCAGTTTGATTCCGCTGACAATCAAACGCAGAAAGGCCCACTTGACAAGTTTAACTGTCAGCCTGAGAGTTTTGAGTTGCTACAAACCAACATTCAAGATGTTCGTTCATACCCTGCACTTTACGGAGACTTCCTTAGAGGCATGGAGTGTCGAGACCCACCACTTCTTATCGATCAGCCTGACAAGTGCGCATCAGAGAACGGAGAGGATCAAATTTTCCTCCTTTTTGCGATCAAATCCATCCCGAGGCACTTCGAGAGGCGCCAAGGTCATTCGTTCACGTTGGAATCTGATATTGGCCACATTTAAAATTGAAAATGTGAACAGCCATATAAAAAATCTGATCTGACCAAAAAAATCTGAATTGAGCACTAATGCTTGCAGTGTGAATGTAGCCTTAGAATATGCAATAGCTATTACTGAAGCTGATGGATTCATTCACACTACCTATATATATATATATATATGTCCTCCTCAGGCAGTTTGATTCCGCTGACAATCAAACGCAGAAAGGCCCACTTGACAAGTTTAACTGTCAGCCTGAGAGTTTTGAGTTGCTACAAACCAACATTCAAGATGTTCGTTCATACCCTGCACTTTACGGAGACTTCCTTAGAGGCATGGAGTGTTGAGACCCACCACTTCTTATCGATCAGCCTGACAAGTGCGCATCAGAGAATGGAGAGGATCAAATTTTCCTCCTTTTTGCGATCAAATCCATCCCGAGGCACTTTGAGAGGCGCCAAGCAGTCCGAGAGACCTGGGGAAGAGGAGGCTTGTATGAAAATGGACTTCAAGTACGAACCGTCTTTCTGCTGGGCCGATCATCAGCGGATGATCCCAAGCTCGACAAACTGGTTTCATTTGAAGCTCAGCAGTTTCAAGACCTTCTTGTCTGGGATTTCCATGACTCCTTTTACAACCTGACTCTAAAGGAGCATGTGTTCTTCAAGTGGATGCTTGATAACTGTCCTCATGTGTCTTTCATTTTTAAGGGTGATGATGATGTTTTTGCTAACACTCAAGCAATACTGAATCATCTGCAGTCTCTGGAGCCTGAACAGGCCACGGCATTGTACACCGGGCAGATCATTTCTTCCGCCAACCCGTTACGGGACCCTAAAATCAAATATTATGTTCCTCAGTCATTCTATGAAGGTCCTTACCCTCCTTATGCTGGTGGCGGTGGATTCCTCTTTTCTGGAAACCTTCTTCCATCTCTTTACCATGTTTCCTTTTACATACCCTTCTTCCCTATTGATGATGTCTACAACGGGATGTGCTTCAAGGCACTTGGAATCCCTGCAACGAAACACGAGGGTTTCAAGACCTTTGACATTCGGGAACAAGATCGAGAGAACCCCTGTGTACACAAAGACCTGCTCCTGGTGCACCAACGTAACCCTGGGCAGACTATGAGACTGTGGAGAAATATGCACAGCACCATGCTGACCTGCTGATATTTGTAAACTATTAATATATTAAAAACATATTAAATATATTAAACTTGATAAAACCCTTGTTGCAAAAGAACAAGCTGGTGAAATTTTCTGGGGGCAACATGGGGACAGTGCAGAGCATTACAGTACCTCTTAAGAGACCCTGGATGAAGACTTCTGTTTTGTTTTCAGTTAGTTTGAAAGGATTTGGTCTTATTTCTTTGAATATTGTACTTGAAAGAAAAATGGTGTGCAACACTATGATCATATCTTATGTTTCTGTGCAATTGACATTGAGTGAGGTTTACTTTTATAGGTTTAACTTGTACAGGTTAACACGGTTCACAAACGAGAATTCATCCTCATGTCATTCCAAACTCGTACAAAACAAGTTTTGCTTTGTTCCGCATTTAGAGGGGTGTTTCAGATGGTTTTGTTCTTACAAAAATGAATCGAATCCAAATCTTTAAAATTCCCATATAAAAAATCTGATCTGACCAAAAAAATCTGAATTGAGCACTAATGCTTGCAGTGTGAATGTAGCCTTAGAATATGCAATAGCTATTACTGAAGCTGATGGATTCATTCACACTACCTATATATATATATATATATGTCCTATTTTGGAGTTTAAAAGTTTTAGACCTCATTGATTTTTGTCCATTCCTTACAATATGTTCGGTGTTCAATTTGAGAAAGACGAGCACACTATTTGACAAGTTTGATTGTGTGAAATCAAACTGGTGTGTGAGTAAAATGCAAGGGTGCAGCATTGCTTGAAAATAAGTCGTCTTGGGAACCACAATTCTTGGAACATTAGCCTTGTGGAAGATGAGTATATGTGTGTGTATATGTATAATATATATATATATATATATATATATTTT